CTTGTTTTTATTTTCTCCAGTTTCAACCTGATGTTAGCAATGGATGATCTGGTCCACAGTCAGACCCTGGCCTTGTTTTAGCTGCTGATATCAAGCTTCTCCATTGTTTCTTCCCACATGTTTCTGTACATTTAGCATGTACAGTCGTGTTTTGTGTTGTTGAAAAGTTAATTCCTTTGGGCAAGTCATTGGTCTTGCAAAATTCTTTTTTTGTGTGTGGGTCTCGGAGTTTATTAAAGGCCCTGGCAACACTACTTCTTCTTCTCCACATCCTGCTCTGCAGCCTCCTTGGCCCTTTCGCTCGGATGCCAAAGAGCCGGGCGTTGGCACGGGCCATGCGGAGACTGGCAAAGGCTTTGAAGTCCTTCTCTTCTTGCGTGATAACCCGGGCTTTCTCCTTCTTGCAGACCTGAGAGAGGGTGGGTTTGGAGGTGGGAGAGGCTGCTGTGACTTAAAGGCAGAGGCTTTAAGCACCACTGAGGTGACAAGACATGGAGTCTGCCCAGATAAGGGCTGATAGACCCTCTGTAGGACCTAAGGCCTGCATGTGGTGGGGCTTCCTGTCTGCGCAGCAAGCCAAAAGGACCACCTCTCTTCTGTGACTGGAGTCCAGGGTGGACTACACTGCGCCCTCCCACCCCCACGTGGGGGCTACCCGGAGAGTAACAAAGGCCCCGCCCACACAACATTTCGGATGGGCATCACAGGTCCAGTAAGCTGTGTGGCCAGTTTGAGTCCCTCCGCAGCGCTGTCTCCCTTCTTGGGGGCCGAGGGCTTCCTGGGGAAGAGGATGAGCTTGGAGCGATACTCCTTAAGTCGCTGCACATTGGCCTGCAAGGACTGCGTGGACTTGTTCCGCCTCCAGGGCTCCACGGAGATGCCGATGGTCCGGGCCACCTTCTTGTGGATGCCGGCCACCCTCAGCTCTTCCAGGCTGAAGCCCCGGCCTGCACGGACTTTGGTGTGATAGCGCACTGTCAGGCAGCGCACGATGGGCCGGATGGGGCCGGACGTGGGCCGCGGGGCGATGCGGTGGGCTTTAGCTTGTCGGGCCTTGCGCCTGGTAGGAGAGAAGGCGGGCAGCAGTCACCAGCCCTGCAGGGCGGAATGCTGTTTCCCCAACCCCACTTCCACGCAAAGCCCCCAGGCGCCCACGGTCATCAGCCGGCAAAGGGTTCAAACGATCTTTCATCACGGCAGTGCAACGATTCCGAGTGTCATCATGTGACGGTCTTGCAAAATTCTATCATGCAATCTCCAGCTCCATTTCTATCACCAAGACCATGTTTTACAACTACGATTTCTTCCTCCTTATTTCCAATGATTGCATTCCGATGACCAATTATCAATGCATCTTGGTTGCACTTTGATCAGTTTCAGACTGGGGTCGTTGGTAGAATTCTTCAATTTCGTCATCACTAAGTTTTGTGGGTGGTGCATAAATGTGAATAATAGTTGTAATGATTGTATTTCCTTGAAGGCAGATAGATATAATCTGATCACAAATAGCACTGTACTTCATGGTTGATTTTGCCATGTCCTTTTAGACCAAGTGATTCCTCCTGATTTTATTATGCCCTACATAGTAAATCATATGATTTTATGATTCAAAACGACCAAGACTCCAGTCAACTTCAGCTCACTATTGTGTAAGATATCGATCTTCATGTGTTCCATTTCATTGTTGACCACTTCCAGTTTTCCTACATTCATTCTTTGCAGAGTTCAAGTTCTGATCATTAGCAGATTTTTGCAGCTGTTTCTCCTGACCTTGAGTCATGCCCCATCAGGGAATGAGGATTCTGAAGGCCCCACCCCCAGGGGCTTAATTCAACTCATGTTGCCAGGAAATAAATGCCTCCTCGGTCATCTTTCCAGTGCCTTCGGATCGCGGGGGCCATCCTCCAGCACTATCTCTGACAAGATTCTGCTTCCATTCACTGGGGTTTTAGTGCCTGGTGAGTTTTTGAAGCTTCACATGCGGTTTTCATCGGCTACTTCCTCCAACGTGGAGAGCAGAGTCCTTCTTTGTTGTCTGTTCTTAGTCTAGAAGTTCTGCTGAAACTGTTTACTTTGGGCGACCCTGCTGGCATTTGAAACACCAGTGACATGACTTCCAGCATCACAGCAACTTACAACCCACCGCAGTAAGGTAAACTGACAGACGAGTAAGGGTTGTTATTCCTACATGATTTAAAAGGATACTTCATAACATTTAGGAATTATGTTCCTGGACATGTATATTAGTCTGGGTACGTGGGAGAAACAAATCCACAGAAACTCATGTATAAGAGAGAGTTTTATATAAAGGTTAAGTGCACATCAAGAAAACATCCCAACCCAGTGCTGCCCAAGCCCACAAGTTCAACATTAACCCATTAACCCATGTTAATCACCAGTCCACAAAGTCCTCCTCCATCTCACAAAACACACGCAATGAAGCCAACTGCAGGAGGAAAGCCGAGTCAGTGGGTCTATAAGCATCTCAGCTCTGGCAAGGGTCTCCACATGGCTGCTCCAGCACCCAGGGCTGCATCGGGGTAGGTCCATGTGGCTTCTCCTTGGGGATGTCTTGCAGGAAGTGAGCCTTGCCAGCTGAAGCAGGGAGCTGGCTAAGGCAGATGCACCCTGGTCCGACCATCAGAAAGCAAGAGACCTGAGCACAAGAAAGGTGAGGCTCACAGAGCCATTTATCCCTCTGACCTTTAATTAACCCCACATGGAGACTTCAGCAAATCATTTTCAATATAACAAAAAGAACACCTAGGCCAAAGATTAATCTAAAGAAATAGAGGGCTTGAATAGGATAAGCCAGGTAGCCCTAACACACATATAGAGAGCACCCTATCTGGGGAGGCTTGGTAGTGTAGCGGTTTTGCATTGGGTTGTGATCTGCATGGTCAGCGGTTCGAAACCACCAGCAGCCCCCTGAGAGAAAGACTGGGCTTTCTACTCCCATAAACAATTAGTCTCAGAAACCCACAGGGGGTCAGCATTGACTCAATGGCAATGAGTTTGGTTTGGGGTATCCGGCCACAGCAGGATACACATTCTTCTCCAGTGCACATGGATCATATGATAAGTCACAACCATTAGGCCATTAACTATATATAAACAAAGAAACAAAATCTAATCATAGTTCAGTACATGGTTCAGCTGTAAACCATATTTACAAACTCACAACGAAAGGAGGTGAGTATAGACAACAAAAAATAAGGAGTCTAGGAGCAAAGTGGTAGGGAAGGGAAATGTTTGAGGGTCTTTTGATGGGGGAATAGACAATAAGAAGGCTAAGCCTATTTCGGTGACTAAATAGAGTTTAGCCTGTAAGTTTTAAATTTAGAAAAGCAAGGAAAAACTAGAAGCACACTATTTCTACATAAGGAAAGGACTATCCAGAAAAATAGCTAAAGGTATGGAAATGAATTGCCCCAGGGGTGAGAAAGAGTGGTGCAGAGAATTACTATTTTTCAGTTTCAGTTTTGTCTAATAGATGACACTTAGACAGCACTTACCAGATGCCAGACACTAGTTTCAGCCATATTTTGTTCCTAGAATAAATTAGTTAACAGTCTTTTTAGTTTTTTGATCATTTAATGCACTATTTAGCCAAAATTTAAAAACTGATTTACTAATAAGGCACACAAGGTTTATGTGGAATTCTTAAGCGATGTGAAGCGTTAACGCACTCACAGCTGAACCAAAGGCTGGGTGTTCGAGTCCACCCAGAGGCCCCTCAGAAGGAAACCCTGAGCTATTTAGCCAGGGGTGCCTTTTGTTTCCCAGCAGGTGTCTACGGTATAAAATCTTGTGTGCACTGTTCATCAGTCTACGTTGTGAGCTATGTTCAGCTTCACAAACTTACCTTGTTCTTATATCTCCTTTGCAGATCCCTGAATATCTACTTCCCTCTTTGCCCACAGAACTCCTCCCCACCCTCCAAGGCACAATTCAGCCACCCTACCTTGTCTAGCCTTCCGCAACTTCCTTCAAGGGAGCTGTCACCACCCCTGGACACATTTCAATCACAGCACTTACACTCGATTGTCATTATGCATGGGAACCTCTTCCTGTCCCACCAAAGAGCTCTTGCAAGCTGTGTCTGCAGCTTATCCAGTATGACGGCTGCAGATCCTGGCACTCTGGCACTCTGACCCAGAGAAGAGCCTCAGAGAGTGCTTGGAGATTAGAGGATTGATGTGCTTTGACATGACGCTGCTGAGCTAAACTCAGCAACTGCTTTCCCAGGGAAAGGAGGCCAGTTTCTCCCCAAATCAAATTCAGTGTCCCCTCCTGGCCCCCCGAGCTCAGATAAGAGCACAGGTCCGCAGCAGCATAAACATCCACTGAATGGATGAATGAAGCCACTAATAACCTTGGACTGCGTGCTGGAGTCAGTACTGCTGGGAAGAAAATGTCTCAAAAGAAAAGAAAATCACCTTTTCGAGTGAGTCCGGATAGAATCACTGGGATGCAAACGCATTATTTGCTTAGGAGCCTTGATCTGAATGAAGCTCCTGGTGAGGAGGATGTGTGTGTGTGTATTCTTAGGACCATCCATAGAGTACAGGGGACTCTCCCAACCTTGGCCGACATGGTGGACCTGTGTGTATAAGACAGGACACATACACACACACACACACACACACACACACACACACACTGAATAAAGCTGGTTAGGGTAAGGTGACCAGACGTCCCACTTTTGGCGGGACAGTCCCGATTTTTGGAAAGAATGCACGACAAGCTAGGGAACGGTCTATGTGGTCCATATAG